AGTCGCTGGTTATAGCCTTGCTTGACTAAGAGATTTGCTTAGCTCAGTTGGCCAGCACATCCTCGTTTGAAGTTTTTTCGTTAAAGGAACAACTTCGGATAACCTTCACAGATGAAGAATTATTGCTCGGCACCACTGACCACAATCGATTGCTCTACATCTCCGTTAATATCGACATATTTGTATTTTCCAAAGTTTGGTGGATCTATGAGCATCGCTCAACTTAATTAGTCCACAGACATTTGCATATTTGGATATTGAAGCTTAAGAGCTTACAGTCCATAAAATGATGTTAAGAGGATTAAACCAGAAGGGAGAAAGGGCTCTTGGATTGATTATGCAACTAATCAAAGTTTAAGAACTAGTAATAATCACAAAATTACATATCATCAATGCAAGGACCTCTTTCAATGCTTTATTGGGATGACAATGGATTCATGAGCATAATATGGTTCCATCGTCTATACACTAATGTATTAAATATTTCAAAGAAGGCTAAGAGCATCGTATCAAGGGAGATTTATAGCCATTTTAAGTTCATGAAGAGGGCATCAATGAAGACGTTGTCTACTATGCACCTCTAAAGAGAAATGTCTTTTCCCGTGAAATTGTAGCAAATGAAGTGGGAGATCCAGAAGAATCACAGAGAAGAGAACATTCAACTCTGCTTTGACGATCTAATGTCATTCCTTCACAATGAGTTGGTTGAGGTTCTTTTAGCCCATACACCCGTGACCAAGGTCAAGGACGTGGACGAGGAAGAACCAACGTGATTGTTGAGTGGACTTGGCCGACCATCAACATTGACAAGGAAGAAAGTTCTGATGAAGAAAGCTTTGAGAAAGAAATGATGATGATAAAATAAAAGAAACTATAGTATGAAATTTCTTTTGAAGATGTAGAGAAAGAAGAATATGAGTCAATGTATGATCGGATCAACCACTATATGAATGTCATGAACCTTGCTTCCATCTACCCTCAAAAGGTTGAGAGTTTAGAGGTCAAGGAAGCCATAGTGTTGGTTTGAAGCCGATGAAGTTTTAAAATGCTTTCTGTTCAATTAGTTCTAAACATCATGTAAATTTGGAAGAGGATTCTAATGAATTAATGGAATTACCTTTTGGTTACTTTTCTCTTTGTGTACAAAAGTTAATTCAACAAGGATATGTGCCAAGGAAATTGCCAAAAGTTAAGCAACAGCTTATTGAGAAATTGTGGAATCTTAAAAGTCAAATTTCTAACTCAAAAAAACATCTCGGATTTGTTACTTGATACACAAAAATAATATGTTATTTTAAGTATATATTTTATGCTTATTTTTGGTGATATTGAACTTTAAAGAAGGGTATTTTCATGTCTTTATTGCAGGTATATAAATTTTAGGCATTTGGAGCACAAGTAAAAAAAATGACAAAATTTGGAGCCAAAATAGTGAAGTTTCGAATTCTGGTGCATGATGCGTCAGATGCACCAAAGTGGCACCATATCAACTCTAGATGCGCCGAAGTGGTGCTAAATGCACCAGATCGACGCCAGATGTACCAAAGCCCAGAACAACATGGTCTTCAGTAAACTGGGGGCATGATGCACCAAATTGGCGCTAGATGTGCCATTTGATAGATAATTAGCGCCTGATTTGGCACAAGATGCTTAGGGGATGACTTTTTTGTGGATTAAAGCAGTTTGAGATGAATTTTGCTCAAATTTTCAAAGGGACACTTTTTCTAAACACCCTTTGGAGTAATTCAATGCATCTAGACACTTTCTAAGGTTCTTTTATGAAGGGATATGTCTCTTGGATCAATGGACATTTTCTTTGAATTCGAAAGAGTTGACTTTTGGACAGAATTTTGGGTCTTTGAATTCGAAAGAGTTGACTTTTGGGCAGAATTTTGGGGGAAATTTTGAATTCTTTTTGGAGGGAAGTCTAGGGCTTGAAGAAGGGTAGAGGAGAGGAGAGGTGTCTTGGGGCATAGGGTGTGTGGCATGAAGAAGGAGAGTGAGAGAGAGAGAGAGAAAGTCAAGGGCTTGGAGATTTTCTTTAAGGATTGTAAGAGGAGAGAGAAAGTGAGAGATTGAGAATTGGGAACTGAGAATGCTTGTAAATAGAGAAATACTTGGAGACAGCTTCTAGGAGTTTGCTTGGGAAGGATTATGAGATATATTGTGTGTTTAATTTCTTTTATTTTGTAAACTTGTTTTTATATATGAAGTCTGTCTTTTGTTCTATCTTTTTCATGAATTCTAAGTAGTTTTCTTTATCATTCTCCTTACTTTGATGATATGGTTTTGTGAGAATTGATTTTGTTTTATGTGGTTTTAAATGTCAAAAATTTGTGATAATTTGAGCTCTGATCTTTATTTACTTTTTAATTTGGCCAATTGAAATGCTAAAATGTGTTGAGAAACATATTTTCCAAAAGAGCTATGATTTCTACAATATGGGGAGAATCACATTTGAATTCATGGGAGAGTATTTCATCCATGGAATTGGGTGGAAATAAATAAAGAAATATATTTTGTTGGATGTATAATAGGAGATTTTAAGGTGACAGATTAAAATATCCAATTTGGTTCAATCAATTTGGTTCAATTAATTAGAAACTGATGCAAGATTGTTAGCCCGTAGGGGAGAGAGTAGTGGGAGCTCTAGAGTGGTAGCTCGTATCCTCCCAATGTAACCAAAAAATTAGGGACCAAGCTCTGGATACCTTTATGCACTCAGAAGAGGGAAAAGAATAGGTTTACTCTTATTTGGCACAAAACAATTTCTATATATATATATATATATATATATCAGGATGGTGGCAGTTGGACCTAGCTGTGCTCTGCTACGGTTTTGGTTGTGATGGAGCTGTTTGGAGGTGTTGTGGAGCTGGGTGAAGAAGCTAGCTTTCTCTTCAAGGAGTCCCTGTGATGGTGGTGTTTGTGGTGTTGCCCGGGAAGACCTCCTTCGAATCTTGTTACTGTTTTGTTGCCTTGTTGAAGTTGCTGTTAGCTGTTGTTTTTTCTTGGTCTTTCCACCCTTTTACTGGTTTTCCTTGTTTCTGTTCTGTTTGATCCTTTTTGGGGTTCTGCAGTTGTTTTCTCAATCTTGCTGGATTTTGGTCTTAGCTGTTTGGGGGTTTTCGGTTCCTTGGTCTTTTCCTTGGTTTTGTCTGGTGTCCTCAATGGCCTTACCCATTGATGTGGATACCAATGCCTAATGGACCAACACTACTTTTGCTGAAGTTGTTGGCAGTGGCTTTAAAGTACCTAAATCCTTTGATCATTTGGTCTTCCCTCAATGTCTTCATGATGTTGCTGCTAGGAGGGGGGTTTGCCCTATTTTCCATCCCTTAGGTTTAAAGGAAGGGGAACCTGACATCATCTTCTCTCCTAAGGAAACTAATGAGCTCAATGAAATAGTAAAGTTTAGTCTGGTTGGCAAATTTCAGTATAGCCACCCTAAAATGGATTTGGTAAGGAAATTGTTTGTGGATTAGAAATTGACTGGTGCTTGGAGGCTGGGTTTAGTAGATGGTAGGCACCTTTTAATATCTTTATTTAATGAAGAGGATTATGCAAGGGTATTTGCAAAACAAACTCTGATTTAATGGAGTTCCAATGAAGCTGTTGAAGTGGACACCTGAGTTTGATCCCACAAAGTAACCTCCTGTAGTTCTAATGTGGTTCAAATTCCTCAACCTACCAATTTAGTATTTCCAACAAAATGTACTATTCAGCATCAGTAGAGTGCTTGGTTGCCTCCTGAAAATTGATGCTCCTACTTTTAATTTGGCTAGACCTGCTGCTGCTAGAGTATTCATAGAGAGGGACATTACCCTGCCTGATATAGAAAGGGTGTGGATTAGAACTACTGAAGAAGGATTTTGGCAGAAAATAATAGTTAATAGTGAAAATAATAGTGGAACTGAAACCAGTATATTGCCAACATTGTAAAATGTTTGGACATAATGTGGAAAGGTGCTATAGACCTCATCCTCCACCTAGAAGAAGAGCTTCTAGGGACATAATTGACACTTCTAGGCCAGTAGACACAAATGGAATGGAAGTGGCTGTTGTTGCTACTATTGTTGATGTTGAAAATACAATTGGGGTTATGCCCAATAGTATTGCTGGGGAGTAGGAGGAAGCTATATGTATTAACAAAAATTTGAAGGGAAATGTAATACAAGATGACAGCTTAATTAGTATTAACCCAATTAGGGTTGAAGACCAGACAATTAACAGTTTAACAGATGTCTTAACTGAAGATTGGCAAGTTCAAAGAAGCAACAAGAAGAAAAAAGGCAAGTTAGATTTTAAACAGCCTATAGAGGGCCCACCTATAGTAGATCACCATTCAAGGACTAGAGGGAAAGGGTGGACCTCTCAATGATAAAGTTCCTTATTTGGAATATTAGGGGTATTGCTCACCCCTTTTCTCTCAAGAGATTAAAAAATCTAGTGAGAGTTCATAAAGTGTGGCGTTTTGCCATTCTAGAACCTTTGGTTACTAAAAATTCCCAAAAAATTCAGAAGAAGTTCCCTAAATTTGATCATTTCTCTAATTCTAACAGCAAAGTTTGGCTCTTCAGTAGAGTTGAACTTCAATGGTCTGTTTTGTTAAATCATTCTCAGTTTATTCACATCCAATTCTATATTGGAGCTCAAGTTGGCTATGCCACCTTCATTTATGCCAGTAGTCTTGCTAATAATCAAGCCACCTTATGGAATGAGTTAACTCACATTGGACAATCTGTAAACTCCTTTTGGATTTTGAAGCGTGACTTAAACTGTATTTTCTCTCTTAGTGAAAGAAGAGGTGGTAGACCACCTACTGTTTCTGCAATGAATAGATTCAATGATTTTTTTTTTCTGAGGTTGATTTGTTTGATTTGGGGTATTAAGGTCCAGATTTCACTTGGAGGAGCGGTGCTATGTGGGAGCTGGATAGAATGCTAGGTAACTCTAAATGGGTTCAAACCTTCCCCTTCACTATCATTACTCATTTGGCTATGGTAGGTTCTGAACACATGCCTCTTCTGTGTACTATCAAAAATGTTGAAAAGCCAAACAAAGCTCCATTCAGATTCCAAAACATGTGGACTCTACATCGTCAATTTTTTGAAGAAGTTGATAAGGTTTGGAGGGCTGAAGGTAACTCTAATCCATGGATTAAACTTTGGAATCTCCAGAAGAAAGTGGCAGCACATCTGAAAAAAGTGGAATTGGGACACTATTGACAAAATACATGAGAACTTGATTAATGCCCAAAGTAAAGTTATTAACATGGATAAGAATTTTCAAATGGGGTTGAATTCTGAAGCTGACCTTCATAAAGCTAGTGAAGAACTGTTAATGCAAATCAACTATATAGAATGTTTTCTGAAACCAAAGGTTGCTGTCACCAGATTTATTGAAGGAGATAAAAATACAAGCTATTACCATGCTTTTATTAACTTTAGAAGGTAAGATAACATTATTCTATCCATACAGGATTCTGCGGTATGTTAGTGGCTGATGCTGATAATATTTCCCATGATGCTGTTAAATATTTTCAAAATATCTTTAAGGATTAGTCTACTGATAGAGCTTAAATCAAGATGGAACTTTTCTCTGATTGCAATGATTATGTACAAAGTTTGGATCTAATCCTATTCCAATGGAAGGAGAAATTAAAGCTGCATTGGACTCTATGGATGACCATAAGGTGGCTGGCCCTGATGGCTTCACAGCAAAATTTTATAAGACTACTTGGCATATCATCAGTGGGGAGTTTGTTGATGTTGTGCAAATTGTGCAAAGCTTTATTGATCCCCCTTGATACTTTACAGCTTCCACTATAACTTTGATTCCCAAAAACTCCAACAGGGTGGGGTGGAGAGACTTCAGACCTATCAGTCTAACAAATGTCATTTCTAAAGTAATCAGCAAGATAATTAGCAACAAGCTTCAACCTCACCGCCAGCAGCTCGTCAGCAATACTCAAGATCCATTTATGGAAGGAAGACAAATCTCTGATAACATTCTTTTGGCACAAGAGCTGTTACTGGACCTTGATAAACAATGTAGAGGCAGGAACCTCATTCTGAAATTAGATATTCATAAGGCATATGATACTATTAATTGGAAATTTATCTTGGATACCTTAACTGCTAGGGGTTTCTCTGAGGCCTTTATCAATCTGATAAGAAGATTACTTTGTTGTAACAACCACTCTATGTTAATTAATGACAAAAGCCAAGGTTTCTTCAATGCCTCTGGGGGTATTAAACAAGGAGATCCTTTGTCACCAACTATATTTTATCTTGCTATGGATTATCTTTCTAGGCTTCCAAATCAAATGTTTGCCTCATCTCCTCATTTAGCCTAATTTAAGGGGCATTTCCATACATACCACCCAATTCCTATGTATTTCCATATCGGATGATATTATAATTTTCTCAAAGGCTACCAAGACTGCTGTGAAGGCTCTTTATCAAGGACTTATACACTTCCAAAAAACATCTGGTATGCATCTTAACAAACAAAAATGTCAAATTTTTAGTAGCTCACACACTCTTCCACAGATTAAGCAATGGATTGCACAGCACACTGGTTTCAGCAAGGCTTCCCTACCAATCAACTATCTTGGTGTCCAATCAATTAATCAAAGGGAGAACCAAGAAAATTCAATTCAATGGTGTTATTGATCAAATTCAAAAACAGCTGCAATGTTTGACTAATTACTTCCTCTCTAATGGAGGTAGGATCACCCTCCTTAAAAGCATCTTAAATAAGGCCTGGCAGAATTTTTAACAAATTTCTGTGGGCTGGACAGAAGAAAAAATTCCATTGGTTAGCTTGGCAAAAATTGTGTAAGCCTTTACATACAGGAGGTTTAGGCTTTAAAGATTTTCAACAGCTCAGTGTCATCAATCTTTGTGAACTATGGATAAGAACTATGGATAAATTTTAGAGCACAAGATTGTCTCTGGGCAATGTTTATGAAGGGAAAGTACTGCAGGACAGTACATCCAATCCTGGCTAAGAAGAAAGTGGGTGATTCCAGCCTGTGGACTACTTTTAGAGGACAGACATCAAGTTGAGGATCTATTTATTTGGGAGCTTGGAGAAGGACAAGTAAATTTCTGGCTTGATAATTAGGTTTGGAATTGGGAGAGACTACACACCTCCATTTCAAACTCAGTGACAAAGTTGAAGGAATTCTGGACTGATAATCAATGGAATTGGAATCTGTTGGCTACCATCCTAGTTGAAGCGCAAATGTATTGGGTTAAGAAAACAAAAATCAATCCTGCACAGAAAGATAGAATCTTTACTAGACAGGCTTCCTCACAAAAAATGTCTGCTTATGTTTTCCAACAACTATATAAATGGCAACCTGTCAAGTGGGGGAAAATGATTTGGGGAAAGTGGTTAACACCTTCCATGTCTTCTTTCTGCTGGAGACTGCGGAAATCCTTACTACCTAGTGATGATATTTTGAAGATGAAAGGGCTTAGGGGACCCTCATGCGGTTAGCTGTGCAGTAAAGCTGAAGAAAGTCTGGAGCATTTGTTCTTTTTATATAATTTCTCCCAAAGAGTATGGTTTGATATGTTAAAGCATCTCAACATTGATACTCTAAAAGTCAGCTGGCAATATTTTCTGTGATGCTGGAAGGATTGGTTGGATGCTAAATTAATAATCATTTCTTGTGTTGTTTCCTGTTTCATATGGATGTGCAGAAACCAACTAAAGTATGACAACATCAAACCTAAGGGAATGGTTGTGGTTTTGAATTGTACTTCATATTTGCAAAAGATTATAAAATATCAAAACTTTCCCAATATTTTCTCTTTCCGGGTGCCCAATGGGAAAATCTGAAAGTGACCAGGACAACTTTGGTCCTCTGGAACCCCCCTCCTAGACAACTTTGGTCCTCTTGGTCCTCTGGAACCCCCCTCCTAAAGGGTGGCTGAAGAAGGCCAATACAGGGAGCTTCTATAAGGAGGCTGCTGGTGTGGGAGGAATCATTAGGAACTCTCTAGGAAAGTGCATTTTGTACTTTTCCTCTCCAACTTGGGCTAATGATGCACTTGAAACTGAGATGATATCTATTTATTGGGCTCTCTACCTTTCCAATCAATGCAACATCATAAAATTTGTGGTAGAGTCTGATTCCATCAGTTGTATCAGGATACTGAAACAGGAAGAAGCTGCCCCATGGAATGTTGCTAGGTGTAATACTAAGATCAAGAGTATGTTGATCAATGTTGAATTGAATTTTCAGCATATCCTTAGGGAAGGTAACATTCCAGCACATAGTTTGGCAATAAGGGGGAAAGATACTGAAGATATTGCTGTAGCGACTATACCTTCTTCTCATTTATCTCTCCTTCTTTATGGGGACAATTTATCCATTCCTTATCTTAATTATAGGGATTGATTATATATATACACACTGGGTTAGATCTTTATGGGGACAATTTATCCATTCCTTATCTTAAGTATAGGGATTGATTATATATATACACATTGGGTTAGATACAGAGTCAAATATATGTACTTCCTACAACTTTTGTAAGCATCCAATGATAGATGGATTAGTCAGGAATTACTTTGCTTCTTTAAAATTCAATGGAGATTGGCAGATTGGAATACTAGATGGTAGGCATCTTCTTATCCAACTTTCAGGGGAGGAAGACTATGCAAGACTATTTGCAAAACAAGCTCTTCAAATTTGAGGCACCATGAAAATTTTGAAGTTGGACCCTGGTTTTGATCCTAGTAAAGAACCTCCTATAGTTCCCCATGGTTTAAATTACCTGGCCTCCCAATTCAATACTTCAATTTCAATGCTCTATTCAATATTACAAGTGCATTAGGGAGACCTCTAAAGGTTGATGCTCCTAAATATAGCAAAGCTATACCTTCTTTAGGTAGAATTCTTATAAAAAGAGATGTAAGCCTCCCTGAAATTAAAAGGCTCTCGATTGGTACTGATAAGGAGGAGTTCGGGCAGAATGTGGTTTTAGAATAGAAACCATATTATTGTTACCACTGTAAGATGTTTGGACACACCAAGGACAGATTCTTCAGGCTTCACCCTCCCCCAAAGAAGAATGTATCAACTCAGGAAAGGATTAATCAGCCTACTCCCCCATAACTTACAGTTTGTGTGGAACCCTCTCCAATTGGGAATTTGGAGGATATGTTGGACACACGTAGAAGCTCAATAACTCCATTTGGCTCCACAGCTCCGACTAAATTATCCCCCAAATTCTTCAGGGAGGAGGAGAACCAAATAAATATTATAACTCCCTTAACTGTTCCACTAAATGTAGATGAGGCATCTAAGAAGATTAACCAGAAAGATACTCCAGTCATAGAAGTCCCTGATAAGAAAGACATAGCTGAGATGAAACTCCTATTGGAAGATGAATGGAAAACACAGAAATCTAAGAAGAAGAAAAAGGTACTATCAGAAGTTCAGAATTTAAAAGATGGAAATAATGGGAGCACAGGTGTTCTGAAGATGGGAGGACCTCCTCCTTCTAGAGGAAGGACCAGATCAAGATCTTAGCCTTCCCTCCATTTCAATCCCTCGAATGATTAACATGTTGTGTTGGAACATAAGGGGCATTGTCCATCCCCAGTCTTTAAGAAGGCTGATTTATCTCAACAAAAAATATAAACTATGGTGTTTTTCTATACTTGAACTAATGGTTCAGCAAAACTCCCATAGAATGTTTGACAAATTCCATGGTTTTTCTCACTATGCTAACAAGAATAATAAAGTTTGGGTCTTTTGTAGGAAAGAAATACAGTGGAGCATACTTATTGACCATCCACAGTTCATACATCTTTCACTTCTAGTTCAAGGCCATCTGGAGTATGCAACCCTTATTTATGCTGGAAGTCTCAATGTAGATAGACAGGAGCTTTGGGAGGGATTACATCTCATCAGCACAAACATGAACTCTCCTTGGATGGTAGGGGGAAATTTAAATTTTATCACTACTGCAATAGAGAAATCTGAGGGGAGACCTCCCAATCTGTCCAAAATGACTTTTTTTAATGATCAAATTCAACAAGCTGGATTGTTTGACTTGGGATTAGGGTCCTAAATTCACTTGGAAAAGGGGTCTCCTGTGGGAAAGACTTGACAGGGTGTTAGTGAATGACTACTGGCATAAGCACTACCTCCTAACCTTTATTAGTGACTTAATCTTCACTTATTCTGATCATAGACCACTTCTTATATCCATTACTTCCCCTAGCACTACCACATATCACCCCCCTTTCAGATACCTTAATATGTGGTCCACTCACCCCCTTTTCATCAGCTGTGTTGCTTTTAATTGGATGGGTATTGATCATACTAACCTTTCATCAAGCTCAGCCTTCTTCATCTAAAAACAAGCAAAGCTTTGAGGAAATGGGGTTGGGAGACTTTTGAGAATGTTTTTTCCAACGCCTTATCTGCTGACAAGGAAGTTGAGAAACTAGAGGCAGCTGTTCAAAATAATACTGCCATTGAGACTGATTTGCTTAGTGCCCAGACTAATCTGCTTAATGCTATTGTCATACAAGATATGCTACTCAAACAAAAGTCATATATTAACATCTTTACTGAAGGTGACAGAAACACAAAGTTCTACCATGCTTATATAAGTTACAAGAGGAAGTGCAATACCATACACTCCACTGAGGGCAGATGGATTAATGAAAATGAATTTATTGCTTTGGATGTTGTTAAGTACTACAGTTCCCAACTGAACTCTTTAGTTGATTTAAATATTGACTATGAAGACTACTTTCTTGAAGAATTAAATTACACTAATCAACTCAATCTCACTGAACCCCCTTCTGATGAGGAAATTTGGGATGCCTTAAAAACAATTGACAGCTCTAAAGCAGGTAACGCTGATGGTTTTACTGCTGACTTATACAAAAAAGCTTGGCACATTATAAAGAAGGGGGTATTTGAGGCAATCAGGAGCTTCTTCAGGGAGGTCAATCTCCCTAGCTATTTTGGAGACACTTCTATTGTGTTAATCCCTAAAGGTGATCTACAGAAGACTTGGGAACACTACAGCCCTATCAGCCTCACATCTGTCATAAGTAAACTCATAAGCAAGATCATAGTTAGAAGACTCCAACCTCATCTTGACAGGATTATCTGCCCAAACCAGACAGGACTGCATTAGAGGAAGATCCATTACTGATAATGTGTTGCTGGCACAAGAACTCATTCTGGATTTAGATAAAATTAGTAGAGGGGGAAATCTAATTTATAAATTAGATATTAAAAAAGCTTATGACACCATTGACTGGAATTTCATTTTGGGGATTCTTGCAGCTAGAGGATTTTAACTTGAATTCAGTAAACTCATCCACAGGTGGCCATAAACAACAAACACTCTATTCTTATCAATGACAAAACCTGAAGTTCTTTCACTGCTACCAGAGGGCTCAAACAAGGTGCCCAAACTCTCCCACTATCTTTATTATTGATATGGATTACCTCTCTAGAATGCTTGACAGGACCATTCTCAACCAACAGTACTCCAAATTTCATCATAAATCCAATGTAGTTATTTGCCACCTCATGTATGATGATGAAATCATGATATTCTCTAATGTTCATATGAATGCAGTTAAGAAAGTCTATCATTGTCTGAAACAATTTCAGAACTATTCTGGGATGGAGTTTTGCCCTACTAAATGCCACCTTATATTTAACTAGAGGGTTTCTTCCATTTGTAAACATTGGGTCTCAGATCACACTGAATTTTCTTTTGCTAAGGACACTTTTAAATGTTTGGTGGTCTAACTCACTTGGGGGAGATCTAAACTGACCCAATTTGGATTTCTAAACATTGAGTCTCAGATCACACTGAATTTTCTATTGCTAAGGACACTTTTAAATGTTTGGTGGTCCAACTCACTTGGGGGAGATCTAAACTGACCCAATTTGATGAGGTGTTGCAGAAAATTTAGAAAACCTTATCCAGTTGGTCACATTCTTTCCTATCAAATGGGGGCAGAGTTAATCTTCCCAGAAGCATCCTAACTACCTTCCCCTCATATAATCCTCAAACCAATTACTTGAAGAAAAGCACTCAAATTTAGTTGGAGAGAGTCTTTAACAATTCTTATGGGCAGGTCAAAGACAACAACTCTATTGGGCTTCTTGGCAAAAGGCAACTAAACCCATAATGGCGGGTGGGATGGGGTTCAAGGGATTCCATCAAATCACATAGATTAATTTCTGTAAGATGTGGATTAATTTCAGAACCCAAACTTCCCTGTGGGCTATGTTCATGAATGGCAAATACTGCAAGGACCAGCATCCTTCTCTAATCTCCAAAAAGCTGGGGGACTCCAGAATTTGGACTAATATGCTTAAAATTAGACACCTTGTTGAAGATATGTACATATGGGATTTGGGGAATGGTAAAGTGAGCTTTTGGCTTAACCATTGGTGTCCTAAAGACTAACTAGGCCCCCCTTCTGACTTTAACCCTCAATTCTCAGTTTGTGATCTTTGGGAAGGGAACTCCTGGTTTGTTTCTAAGCTCCAATCCATTCTACAAGAGCCCCACCTATCTCAAGTCACTAAGGTTGTTTTTGATAAGGGAAGGAAAGATAGTATATCTGGCATTATTATGCTAACCAGATCCTAACAAAAGCCATCTATGCCAAACTTTGTTGTTGGGATCAAGTCCCTTGGGTTGAAGCCATTTGGAACAGATATCTATCCCCTTCCATATCGCTCTTTTGTTGGAGATTCTTCAACAACCTTCTGCCAACTAATGATATTCTTAAACTGAAGGGATTAAGAGGGCCTTCTAGATGTTATCTCTGTCTAAGATTTGAAGAGGAAAATAATCACCTATTTTTTAAATGTGAGTTTGCTCAAGAGGTATGGAAAGCACTCCTTACTAAGATTAAAGTTGAGGGCATGGACAAGGACTGGTCCAGTCTCAAAGATGGATGGCACAGCTGGAAAAGTAAAAAGGGTGAGTCTATTCCTTTTATTGTGGCTTGATTCTTGTGGATGTGCAGGAACAACAGAAAACATGAAGACAAGACAATTCAACACAATAAGGTTACTAGAAACTGTGTTTCCTACTTAAACAAGCTGATTCATCTCAAAAACTTCTCCAATATCATCTTGCCTCATACTACTGTAACCAAAAGTTAAAACAAGATTGGGAAAGTCATTTGGCAACCTACAGATCTACAAACCATGAAGATTAATACTGATGGTAGCTTTTTGAATGGGGTGCAGGGGTGGGGTGATTTTAGAGAATCCTCTAGCAAATGTTTGTTATTATTTCATGCTCCTACTGAGGCCCATGATGCTCTAGAAGCTGAGCATATTGTTGTTTATTGGGCCCTTACCTTTGCACAGAAAGCTGCATGACATAAATTATGGATTGAGGTGGACACTCTACAACTGATTACTTTCCTCACCACAAAGCAGTTGTCCTCTTAGCACCATATGCAATGGAAATCAATACAGAAAATTGGCAATCAATACAAGATGTTCAAAGTCTATATATCTTTTATATACATAGAAGGAAACCAACCTACTAATTTTCTTGTTAGACATGGTATCTATGCTAACTCCATCTCTGTTGCAAAAATGCCTCCCACCCCTCTTGCCCTCCTGCTTCATGGTGATAAGTTGGAGACTCCTCATCTAAGTTTTAAGGCTAATCACCTCAAAGATCTTTAGTCTTTTGAGGCTTCTTCTCTTCTTTTCTCTTTATTTAGTTTCATTACACTCATGTATGTCTTAGTTTTATGGATTGGTCTCCCTCCTGGCTATTGTAAGGGGACCTCTCCAGTGGAATATTTTGTAGTGCTTTTAATGATCAACATGTATGGGGCCGGATAATGCTCCTTCAACAAAATATACATATAGATATATATTTATATATATATACAAATGATTTTAATTTTTTCACAAACCATATACTCTTTGTAAAAGGTAAGGATACTTTCTTAAATTAGAACTTTCTATCATAACATCTTAGTTTTATTGTAATTTTACTTTTGAAGGTTTAGCATTTAGTTTAGTTAATTAGCATTCACTTGTTACTTAACATTAAAACTTCGCACCTTACTTTTTGTTTTTTTAAAATAATACTTTACATTATAATCTTAGGAACTTATTTACAAGCATTTCCAACTTCCCTGTGGGATAGATATCTAGAACTCTATCAGAGCCCTTTATTATATCAGAGCCCTTTCAGAGCCCTTTATTACTTGAGCGATACGTATACTTGTGTTATTTTAAAGGGGATTTGGTAATTTAAAGATTATTAAAAGATAAAACTATTTTAATTAAAGCTATTTTGTAGGGATTAATTTGCATATTGGCTATTGTATCTGCCGTGTGTATTTTGTAATATTGTGTGTATTTTGTAATATTGAAAAATATTTGCAAAAACTAACACACTAAATCCATTCGCATCAAGTTTTTGGCATCGTTACCGGGGAAGTAATGGAAAGTAGTAGTAATTTATTTTAAAATTTATAGTATTTTCATTCTAAAAATAAATAAAAGCGAGAAAAAGAGTTTGTTTGTGGTTTAGTTTTAATATTTTCTTATTTAAGTGTGTTTACTTATTTTTAAATTACTTGTTGTATCTATTTATGCGTAGTGTAAGATCTGAAAATTTAGTACCTTACAATTCTGAGTTAGAAAGAGCAATTAGAAAAACTAGAAAACAACAAAAAGGGAACATATTATCAAAATGACTTGCAATTTGAATAATGTTGGAAATGAAAATGAACATCATCAGAGACCTTTAAGATATTATGCTAATTCTACAGCAGATGAGATTCATTTAAGCATACAGAACCCTATTGTAGTTGTCAATTCATTTGAGCTTAAACCTGCTATTATCCAAATTGTTCAAAATAATCAGTTTGGGGGAACACCAACTCAAGATCCTAATTTACATCCTGCTAATTTTCTAGAATTTTGTGCTAGATTTAAATATGATGGAGTGTCGAATGATGTCGTGAATGATGCCATCAGACTTAGACTTTTTCCTTTTTCACTAAGAGATAAAACTAAGATGTGGTTAAACTCATTAGCACCTAGATCTATCATAATTTGGGGAGATTTATCACAAATTTTTTTATTTAAATATTTCCCACCTTAAAAAACTACTAAGCATAGAAATGATATTACACCTTTTTGTTAGTTTGAAGAGGAATCAATTTATGAAGCCTGAGAAAGATTTAAAGATCTCCTTAGAAAGTGTCCGCACCATGCATTGCTAGATTGGTTGATAATTCAAAATTTTTATAATGGATTGGTTGGATCTCTTAGATCGATAATTGACGTTGTTACCAGTGGATCATTAATTTTAAAACCATTTGATGAAGCATCCAGTGGATCATTAATTTTAAAACCATTTGATGAAGCATATTATTTAATTAAAGAGATGGCTACTAATAATTGGCAATGACCCTATGAAAGGGTAAATTCAAAAAGAGTAGCCACTATTCATGATTCTGATGCAATATCTATGTTAGCTATATAACTAGATGATAAATAGATGTTATATTGAAAAAGATAGATCAATATAGAATGAATTAATCTCAGACATCACCTGTGGTTGAGGAAAATTCAGTGGGAGAAATGATAGAATCACAATTTTTTTATGCGACCTTAAGTGCAATAAATAATCATTCTAATAATCCTTATGCTAATTATTATATTCCCGATTGAAAGAATCGTCAAAATTTTAGTTAGAGTAATAATAATTCTAATGTTGTAAATCCGCAATGGCAAAACAACACTGCAAACCCAATAGGAAACTCCAACAATCAAAGTAATCCAACTTATAAACCTTATTACCCTCCAAGATTTAATAATTTGCAGAGTAAGGAGAAAAATTTGTCAATAGAAGAATTAATATTGCAAATGGGGAGTCAATTACAAAGTCAATGAGCTGCAATTAGAAAAATGGAAAACCTATTGGGATGTATTGCTACCACAATTAGCAATAGACCTTTAGGAACGTTGCCTAGTAATGCTGAAGTAAATGCAAAAGATCAGAACAAAGAGAAAATTATGGCTATTCGACTTAGAAGTAGAAAAAAATTAAGAAATAGAGTTAAAAAATCAGTGGAAGTTGAAGTTGAAGAAGATGAGGTGGAAAATGAAAAATCAGGTGAAGAT